AACACAAAAAGAAATATGGAGAATGATTAGGGAAGAAAGAAAAGACATGAACGAACTAATAAAAACGAAACACATTCACAAGAAAACATGAGGAGACTACTTTCGATCTCTACTTGCTAAAGGTAATGATAATGAACCACCAACACCAGAAGTGACGACAAATGAAGAAATGAAAATTGAGGAGGAAGAGGTAAAAATGCATTCAGGAAATTAAAAAAGAGAAAAACACCACGAAAGGACAGAAATTGAAAACCCTGAAATTAACAACCAAAGTGATAACAAATAAGCTGAATACAATTATAACACTAGCAGAAGAACAACAAGGGTTTAGGTGTATATTTATAATGAGGCAAGTGCAAGAGATATCATTAGAATACACAAACCGGAATATTTCGACAGGGTCGAATTAAAGAAATTTATCCACTTATTTTACGCACGACACATACCTAAAGATAGAAACCTAGATAGGAACCTAGAAATAATCAAGACGATCGAAAATATTTATTAGAGCAACACAATAAAAGTAAGAGTAGAATAAAAACTAACTGACCCTATTGAAGCTGGAAATAGGATGAAATAGGGGGATTCCCTGAGTCCTATACTCTTTAACCTGATCATGGATGAAATAATAAAAAATATAAGAGCTAAAAAAGTATATCAAATGGGAGAAAAATAACTTAATAATAATAATAAATAATTTGCTGAGCAGACGACGTAATACTAATATCTCAATGTGAAGATGATTTGCAATGCTGCACCAATTTAATATAACAGCTAAAAAATTGAATATGTTCAATTCCCCAAAAAAGACAGCATACATGGTTATAACAGCAAATCTACTAAGATGTAAATTAAAACTGGAGAGTCAGATAATAGAACAAGTGATAGAGTTAAAATATCTAGTAGGTATTACTATCTAGTTTATAGAGAGCAAAACAGACGTGGAAGATTAAGTCGATAGAGCAAACAGAGCCTTTGGTTGCCTAAATGAAACAATATGGACAAATAAAAATATCGGAAAAGGCAGAATTTACACAACATCAGATCAATAATGACATACACGGTAAAAAAGCGACCTGACACAGGGAGGAGGAAAAGAAAGTTCGAAACAGCAGATATGAAAACTCTTAGAAAAATTAATGGTGAGACACTATGGGACAGAGCTAGAAGAAAAGATATACGACGCGACGTAGATGCAAGGTGAAAAACATCAAGGACAGGGTAAGAAGTAGAAGAGTGTGATGGAAAGATCAGATAAGCGGAATGACAAGAAATAGAGAAGTAAGGACGGTGGAAGACGATCAGTCGAAAGACCACTAAAACAATGGATCAAAAGCTTACTGAAAATACATTGAAAAACAGACATCTACATAAAAAGAAGAAGAAAAAGAACAAAATAACAAAACTATGTGTTGTATTACAGACAGACAGTTCTTAATTGGTACGTTTCATTTAGTAGAAATTCTTTTTTTCTCTCGGTATCGGCAGAACGTATAGGCACAGAATAAATAACAATCAGAATGCCCACTCTCAGATGCCGCCTTGTCAGCACGCGATCACCATGTTTTAGATAGAAACATAGACTCGAATTGAGAAATTTGTGACAAGCTATGACAGAACTGTAATTTAAATTTTTGGATATTAATAATTTAATACATTTAAAATAATTTAATATATTTTTCAACTAAAATTACGAATAAAATAATGCATATTATGTCTATATTTGCCGTAAATAAATTAAACCGGGTTAATTTGTCTATGCACACCAGATAAAATGTCACTGAACAGCACTGGTTCTGATTAAAACGTGGAGGATTCTGCGAGGTTTGCGCGAACGAGATTTTACATAGTACCCTAAAATAAGTCTATGAGAAGAACCATATTCTCAATCACTTCTTTGATTTCAGATTTCGATAAATGTTTAATAGACTGAGTTATAGCAACGGCTTCCTCTTCTAAATTGAGACTTTGTTGTTATGTATTTATTTATTTTACTTTATTAATTTATTTTGCTTCAAGTTTTTATCAATTTTTCACAAATAATAATTTGGGTTTTCTTTATATACAAGGTCATTTGAATTGAGTTGTAATATACCCCCTCCCCCAAATATCCTGATTCAGTTTATGATACACACCTAATAACTATCATGCCTTTAAATTGCAAAATATAGACTGGCTTAAGAGTTTATTCATATCACCTGATATCCAGTGCACGAAAGGGAATAAAATATAAAGGATAGCAAAAATATTTGCAACACGGACGAAACAGGACCACCCATTTTTCTTGCTTCTCTTCTGAATCAAAACCTAACGCTATAGTTTTTAGCGTGCGCTTGTTATGTGTTGTATGTTATGTGCTTTGTATTATTTCGTTCCTGTCAAAAACCTTCTAAGGTACTGAGCTAAATGGTTTCCTATTCCTGTCTGGAATATCCACGGAGTATATCCCGATCCCTTGTGAATTTGTGATTGTAAAAAACCAAAATAGTCACCAAGTTTTATCTCTACAGGAGGATTGTAGATAAGTTATTCGTTTTTATATAATCAAGTGGTGAGTTTCTTATTAACACTTTCTTTGGTAGAAAACAAAGCCAGAAAGAAGACTGCTTTCGCAGAGCTTAAACTTACTTTACGTGTCCAGTTCAACCAATTAAATCTTGTCCATCCAGGAAACTTATTTTTTGAGTTTTTCGTCTATTTTGGATGAAATTAAGAATCATACGCTCAACTATTTTGAATAGGTAATAGAGTGAAGATATTGGCCGATAGCTTTTGGGGTCGTTGGGATCCTTGCCAGGTTTAAGCAAGGCAACGTTTATTTTTTTTATTAATAAATACATAATAGTATTTGGTATTTGCATAATTGGAACATAGCTATCCATCATCTAGATGGACATTGTAATATTTTTGGTCCAAACTTATTAGTTTGCTCTGTGCGCAGCATTCTTTGTACTTCGCAGTATATCAAAGGACAGTACCTTTCAATGTACCCAATAGCTTAGAAGTATATTATATATACGTGCTATATCTAATACTATACAGTGTGTAAAAGCCAAATGGAATAAATTCATTATTTAGGTTACTGTACATATTTATAAAAAATCCCGAAACACGTCAAATTTAAATTATAACTTGACATTCTTTAATGTGAAAATGCAACCCCTACCTTCAACCCCCTTAGAATAACAGGTAGAAACACCAATTTTTAAAATAGGAAGTATAGGTTTGTGATATATCGTTTGAAAGGCCTTTTCATTCTCCATTCAAAAGTGTTGTCGCTTTCAAGTTTATTAAGATTAATTAAGATAAATTAATTAAGTAAAAAAAAAAAAATTTCAACATATCGACCTGCATATTGAAGACGAACGTATTGAAAGAGTACACCGAATTGAAATAGCAAGATCCAAATTCATCAAAATGAGAAAGCTCTTAAGCAACCGCAACCTAAGCATTAACCTCCGATGGCGCGCCACGAAATGCTACGTACTCTCTACGCTACTTTACGGCGTAGAAGGGTCGACGTTAACAGCAGCAACTATAAAGAAGTTAGCGGCTCTAGAAATGTGGCTGTATCGACGCATACTGAGAATACCTTGGACAGACAGAGTGACCAACACAGAGGTATTAAGACGAATGGGTAAAGAGGTGGAATTGTTAAGAACTGTTAAAAGGAGGAAAGCGTCATACCTGGGCCATGTGTTCCGTAATGATAAGTACAGTCTGCTACAGCTTATCGTGGAAGGCAAGATTGAAGGTAGAAGAGGTTTGGGCAGAAAGAAGAAATCCTGGCTGAGAAACTTGAGAGAATGGTTTCAAATACCAGAAGCTGCGAACATAATTCATGCGGCACAAAACAGAGAAACCTATCGTATGATGGTCGCCAACCTTCGGTAGAAGACGGCACATAAAGAAGAATTAAGATAAAATAAATTAAAATCATGTGGTTACCGACATTCGCTAAAATATACTCAAAACTTATTTCCCGTTTAGGTCTTGATAATGAGAAAGTGAACAAAAACCATAGCAATGTGGTTTTTAGATGGTAACTATTAAAAAACTTTAAAGAATTTCCGAGGCAACTTAGTTTAACACGCATTAGTAAATTGTTTTATTTAAGTTGTCATTATTTTAATTTAAGTAAAAAGTTCATTCAATTCAATTCTGAAAAATGGTTAGATTAACGAAAATGCATAAAATAACAGTTTTACAAATGATTGGTTGCGGAGATAACACCCGAACACAACAGTAACTCGTAACTCGCCTATTTCATGAGAAATTTCCTAATTTACCTCCTATATCCCAAGGAACAATAAGTAAAATAGAGAAGCAGTTTCGCGAGTTACGATATAGTTTCATAAAGTAGGATAAAGCACCACGACATTACCAACTTAATGTCCGGCAGTACCTCGATACAATATTTCCCAATCGGTGGATAGGGAGGCGAGGATCGATTGAATGGCCAGCACGATCACCTGATCTTACATTATTAGATTTCTTTTTTTGGGATATGTGAAGAGCCATGTGAAGACGTTCGCGGTGAACATTTTGTACATCTACTTCATAAACATTCATAGTTCTTTTTCGTGTTCTACATTTTATTACGTTTTGCATTATATTTTAGTTTTTGATTGTATTGTAGTGAATTTCGGTAACCACATGATTTTATTTATTTTCTTTTAATTAATCTTAATAAACTTGAAAGCGACAACATTTCTGAATGGAGCATGAAAAGACCTTTCAAACGATATATCACAAGCCTATACTTCCTATTTTAAATGTACTTGGGGGCTGTACCTCTTATTTTAAGGGAGTTGAAGGTAGGGGTTGCATTTTCACGTTAAAGAATGTCAAGTTATAATTTAAATTTGATGTGTTTCGGGATTTTTTATAAATATGTACAGTAACCTAAATAATGAATTTATTCCATTTGGCTTTTACACACTGTATAATAATACATATAACACTATTACAGCTATTACAAACAATATAACGCTATTGCAGCTGGATGAAATATTTATTGCATGAAATCTTTAAGTTTACATATCATATTCAAGAGAAAATCCAATTTGTACTAATTAAGATCCTTGAGGTTTAAGATTATACTTGGTAGGCTGCAACATTTCTTCGCATATGGCATCAACCATTTCCTTTAAAATATTGTTGAGCTGACTTCTGTCTCTATAAAATAAAATACAAAAAGGTTATTATACTATACAGCACCAAAATTTTTCAAATGTTTAAACAATGTAATAAAAGACATCGCTAAACAAGACCAATAACGGACAACTTGGTTTGTGTGTGTTTTCTTTGTTCAAATTAAACTTACCTCATTTCAGGACTTGCACATAGCTCTGTATAATACTTAATCTTAGGTTCCGTACCACTGGTCCTTAAGGTGCACACTAAGCCATTGTCAAAATTGAATGTGATCATCTCACTATCTGCAGAAACTGGTAAAATTGCCTTATTATCTGGTTGGTTATTATCGTATCCAGTGGTTAAGTCTCTAACGGATGTAATCTTGTATTTTCCATTTAAAATTGATTCTGGATACTAAAAAAAAAACAAGCAGCTAGTACATATGCTACAATATACACACAGTACATCTTGAAAAAAAAAACGGTGCTAGATAAGGAGATATGATTTCGTCGCAACTGTTCAGTCCAATAAGACATTTTCAAAAAACTGCAACGGAAGAATGTACAGGGTGTTTTAAAAAAAGATAACACCATCTCTAGAATAGGTAACACTAAAAAATAATCGAGGTTTGCGTAGTTAAAAAATTTTGTGACGCCATCCGTTTTCAAGGTAAAAGCGTTAAAGAAAATAAGTGTAACATTTTTTACGATTTTGCCGAAACTACTGACAACATTGTAATTAAATTTTATACGAATATGTTTTGGAAACTGATCCATTCAATTAATTTTTCGTATTTATATTGTATCATGTTGAAAATTCCTTAAACTATGTAATATTTATGTATAAAAATTTCTAAGTACGTCCTTGATCTGAATATAAATATATCCCTGTTTATTTGTGATGTAACGAAAAATATGGTTTTATCGATTGGTACGTGTTAACTACAATTTAAAAGAGTTGATTTGATTCAAGATTAAATAAACTGTTTGTCAAGAATTTGGTTGCGAAAACGAGTTTTTAGGTAAAAAAGGGCAAATAACAGCCGGCCGGTGGATACAGAAAAATCGGCCAAGGAGAATTGAAGTCAGGTTGAAATGGGGAACCAAAGTGAACAGGTCATTATGTAGTTTTGCCAGAAGCCGGCATAATTTGTTAAAAATAGTAGAATTTTACTCTTTGTTAATATGTCAAATTTGGAAGAGTAATCACTATTTATTTTTTAAGTATCTACGAGATTTGTGTCGCTTGCAGCAATTTGATGTTCCAGTTTCCTGTTTTTTTTTAAGAAGCCCAGTATAAAGTTCGTATCTGGTGCCGCCCATTTCAATCCTCAATGTCCTAAGCAGCCGTCTCGGGATATTTTGTTTCACAGTTTGGAGATGGAATTAGGAATTTAGAGTGAATGTGTAATCTAGTGCAATCCAGGTACCTTTTTTATGATTTAATTTTAAAGTAAGGATAGACATTTTTTTAATAATAATAGTTTGCTTACATAATAATTTTAAAATGTTATAATTAAAATTATAAATCTTAGTACGTGGTCTTAGCTGTCATTTTATTTGTTTAAATTTTTAAAATTTAAAATTTAATGTTGACATATGAGAGCTAGTTTTATTATTTTTTTTATGACATTAGTTTGTTTTGGTTTTTTTTAAGAAGGTTAACCTATTAGGTTAACTACATAAACATTAACTAAATAGTTTTATTTAAAAAAAAAGATATCTTTTATTTGTAATAAGATATTTTTGCTACAGTTTTTAGTCTAGTTGTTGATAGCCCAGTAACAATTTTTGAAAGTTTTTGTAGCATCTCCCACTTGTAAACAGAATTTGTAAACGGATAGGACAATGTCAGTTTTTTCTTCTTTATTATTTTGGTATCAATGTCTGTAACTATTAATATAGTATTTTTTGTGCCATCTATATTTTGTAACTGTTTGTGTTGAGACAAAAATAAATGTTCAATTTATTTCTCTAAATCATTTTTGGTTATTTATTTTAGAAAAATCTCCTAACCCCTTTGTGTTTCTTTTTTTTAGGAAAGAAGAGCCTTTTTCCTTTACACAGCAAGACTAGGATCCTTCAAAGCGGCATCCTTATTTTAAATAGCTAGAGGCCTTTCTTGTTGTTTTTGTTTGTCCAGTTATCCGGGAGATTCATGTAAGTACCCTCTTTTTGTGTTATTTTTGTAGTTGCCTCAATCCGACCCTTTGCCATTCAACTTATCCACGACCCCAGCTCTCCAATTAAGCCCTGAGTGCCGTTCGCATAAGTTTCGTTTATTTTGCTTGCCCTACCTCCACCCCCAGTAACTTTTGTCCCAATTTTCAAACCCTTATAATAATACCCTATGTGGTAGTCAAAATATTTCGTTACAATATCTCACCAGTCTATATTCTTTGATCTCACCCTCATAGAGTTCGTTAGTTGTAAGTTACAAGATTCGTTTCAAGTATTATTCAACATAAGTTCTTTAAGGGTAGAATTATTAATAAAACAAAATTAAATTAAACAACATACAAATTTACACCAAAAATGTATTTTTGGTTAAGCTCAATATCGCATACCATTTTCGGAATATTTTGATTTGAAAATTATAAAGGTATAAAAACATCACAAGAAGAAAATTAATATAAAGATTAAGAACATAAAATAAAATTTAATCAGACTAAGTGTTCAAAATGTCCTCTGTTTTCACGAATATACAAGTCTATCCTTTCTTCTAAAAAATCCATTAATTTTCTAAGAGTTTGGGGATCAGCTAGGATGTCATTAAAGTGACGGAAAGTTCTGTTTTCCAATTCCTATAGTGAATTTACCTCTGTAGCATAGATTTATACCTTAACATACGACCAAACTGTGTAGTCGACAGGATTAAAATCACATGGGCCCTGATTCTATTTCATTTCGATGTCGAAATTTAAAAGCGACTACGCCATGACAGTCGCAATCGCTAGCGATTCTCATTCATTTCGATTTTAGTTAAAAGTGGGGACATTTACTTTATCATTTTGACACTGCTCAGAATTTGGGTTGGCCGTCTTGTTTTGTTTACATTTTACAATTTTTGTTTCTTGTTTGAGTTGTTAAATTTTTAGTGGCCATTCTCAATGATTATATTTTGTATTGAAAGAAAATGGATGGAGGCTGTTGGTGTTGGTGGCACTAAATTGTCTGTGGACCAAAACGAAATTATGATGGCTTTTGACTTAGTGGTTATATTATATTTTTAAATTTACTGCAGCTTAGTATTGGTATTACTAAAACAATACATTACCGCTCTAAAAATTCTTAATGAGTTTAAAGATTATTTTATATCTCCAAATAAGAGTGTAGAATTAAAATAAATTATTACAGCCAAATTATTTATTATTTCTATCTTCCATTACAGCCTGTTGAATATATTTAAAAATTGTGGTTCCCAATTTAGTTTTAATATTGGGACATTTTATTTCTTTAATTTTTACGCCACAGTATATTTTAAAAAATAATCAGTAGCATCTGGCTTGGGGCCCCCAGGTACCGCAGTTCTATTTTTATAGGTGTTAAAATTTCGATCAATTATGTGCCGAATCACATACAATTTCTGATAAAACGCAGCCATATTAATACTTTTTGCCTCAGTTTTCGTTGCAACAATCCAACAAAACAACACAGCCTAAACTGAACCTAACCTCGCTTCTCCCAGTCCCGCTAGTCATGTCAGATTAATTTCGACTCCAAATTAAATTTCAACCACTTTCTTGAAGTTGAAATTAATTTCGATAAATCGAAATTTAGTGACGTCCTTTGGTTAGTTCAGCTGAAATCCACTAGGCTCGCAAAGTCGCATTTCGACGTTGCCATATTGATTTCAACATGTTTTCGGTCGAAATCTCAATTAGAATCAGGGCCATGACCGAGGAGATCAATGAATCGGGGCTTCTATACCTCTGACAATCTATCGATTGTTAGAGGTATCCAAATCGATATTTCTTGATTAATATCGGTTATAAAAAATCTGATTATGATCCATGCCCATAAACAAAGATGAAAAATAGTCTAAAAACCATTATCTCTGTTTGTATTGGTGATTTTTTTTATTTTTTCTAACGATTCAAATGAAGCAGTTAATTTTAAGTTAAAATTAAATGAATTTTCCAAAATTAAATATTTAGAAGATAAGAAGAATTGTAAGCTTGCTACCACAATGAAGATTAGTTTAAATTCGAATAGAGACGATAATACATCTCCTTAAGTGCCTTATCAGAATTTAATAGGTGGTCTTATGTTTCTGTCAGTTTTGAGAAGACCAGACATTTCATATTTCCAGACAGTTCAATAACTATTATTATAGTCAATTTAATAACTATTATTCAGAAGCGCATTGGAAGCATGTAAAACGGATATTTAAATGCTTAAAAGCTACAAAAGAGCATGGATTAAGGTTTTTAAAATATGATAATGACCTTAAAAGGCTATGTACAATAAAAAACCTTGAGTCCTATAAAACATAACAAGATTTTGAAAAAAATTGGTTTAGTTAAAATTGTGTAGAAAACATTTAATGTTTTTTTTTAATTTGTTTATCTAGTGAAAGAGTTGGATATAGATAAATAAATTAAATATTTTCTAGCACTGCCATCTAGTGGCTACTTTACTAGTTATAATGTTGTGTCTACTTGTTTAAAAGTAGTACCAAAAATACACCCAGAGAGTTGATACGTGTTCTATTTGTTCATCAAATCTCCATTTTTCTTCCACAAGTCTATAATTTATCAACACTAGTTAGCCTATTTTACAAAAAACAAAGAGAAATTCGCACTAATTTAGGAATTAAGGATTGGGAAAAGCTATTTCATGGAAAAATTTAGAAGCTCTTATAACGGGATTTAATTATTATGTTTAAAAATTTAAAATCCTTTAAATAATATTAATGAGTGCTTATTGCTCAAAGCGATTGTGTGTTTATGATATTGAAAATATCGGTGTAACTAGAACATGATTACCGAGGCGCTGACCTAGTGAAATTTGCAATGTAATCAAAAGCTTATTTAATATTGTGTACAAATTATATTGGTAAAACACGATTGTATAAACAAACACACGTGAGTTAAATACCTTAATACCTAAATAGGAGTAGATTAAAAATTAAGAGTTAACAGCCGATGCTAGTGTTGTCGACCGTCAACTGGGTACTCTCTTTATTATTGTACTTAGAGAACCAATAAAGTACTTATAAGTATCCAGTGAGTTCGAGTTAATCAACCTAATGCAGGGGGTAAACTACCCCTAGAGTTACACTATATGGAAGCAATCTAATAAACATTATATGATTATCCAACATTATTGTACTCTTAAGGTAGAGGAAAGGAAATGAAGAAGACCAGCTAACCAGAAGTTAATGGAGATATATGAATGATCCACTACGATTCTTCTTACGGATGCCAAAGATAAAAATATCCTAATAGTATTATAGGTAGGAGAAATAGGGAAGAAAAAAAAACATCAAGAACGAGATCAATAGACGTAGCCAGAAGGGACATTTTATAAATAGGAATAGCAGACAGGATAAAATAAGCAAATAACCAAAAAAGTGGAAAAACTAAGCAATAACTTAATGAGGAAGAACATTTAATACGGAAGGTAAGTCTGTAAATATCAAAATACTTGTCAATCACAAAAATTACTTACTGTATTTTCTCCTCTTTTATTTCTTATCTGTCTGAATATTTCTTTAATAATTGGAGGTTCGTGGCAAATATAATACGAATTCATAGAAATATGCAGCCCGTAAGTGTCATAAATCTCATTTAGTTGATCAGCTACCGTTTTGTTTTGACTATATACATAAGAAACCATGGAAGCAACTTGTGCAGCCGCTGATACGCCATCTTTATCAAGTACTTCGGTGCTAACCATAAAACCAATGGCTTCTTCGAAACAGAAAATTACCTTATTACCTTCTTTTTCTAATTCTAAAGCTTTGTTTCCTAAAAACATTAAAAATTTTAATACCTACAGATATAAATGACAGGTTTTTTAGTTTGGGTTTCCATGTTGAAAATCACACCCCCCATATATTTTTTACTAATTTTCAACAAGTATATATTCATTTATCAAAAACAGGTTACAATTTTTTAGAAATAATTTTTTAAATTCAAAATATATTTGTTCTTCTTCTTATTCTTTTTATGTAGACATGAATCTGTCTGTTTTTCAATGTGCCTCCAGTAAGTTGTTGTTCCATCGTTTTCGTGGTCTTCCTACTGATCGTCTTCATAAGGGCATTTACTACTTTATTTGTTGTCATTCGGTTTATATGGTCGTTCTATTCTACTCTTCTATTTCTTACCCAGTTCTTGATATTCTCCACCTTGCATCTACGTCGTATACCTATCTGTACTTCTAGCTCTGTCCCATAGTGTCTTACCATCATAAAATATAAGTGTTTTCATCTCTGCTATTTCTAACATCCCATTTGTTTTTTCTGTGTCAGGTCTTGTTTCTGTCGAGTATGCCATTTTTGGTCTGATGACTGTTTTGTAAATTTTGCCCTTTGTTTCTTTCACGATATTTTTATTTCTCCATATTGTTTCATTTAGCCAGCCTGTGGCTCTGTTTGCTCTATTCGCTTGATCTTCCACTTTAGTTTCGTGCTTTCCGTAGCTAGATAATGTGATGCCTAGATATTTAAACTTCATCACTTGTTCTATTATCTGATCTTTCAACTCCAATTTACATCTTAGTAAATTTGCTGTTGTAACCATGCATTTTGTCTTTTTTGGGGAAATTAACATATTACATTTTCTGGCGGTTAAATTAAATTAGTGTAGGTGTAAGGAGTGGAGTAGTATTGCGTCGTCTGCTTAGCAGATTATTTTAAGTTTATTTTCTCCCATTTGGTATCCTTTTTTAGTTCTTACTTTTTTCATTATTTCATCCGTAATATGGTTGAACAATAAAGGAACTAGGGAATATGCCTGTCTTATTCCATTTCCAACTTTAATAGGGTCGGTTAGTTCTTCTAGGTACTTTTACTTTTATTGCGTTGTTTTGGTAGATATTATTGATCGTTTTGATTATTCTTAGAGGTATCTCTCTTGCGTACAGTAAGTGGATAACGTCTTTTAATTTGACAGAGTCAAAGCCTTCGTAAGGTCCACGAAACATAGATATGCCGGTTTGTTGTATGCTAATGCTTTCGCTTGCACTTGCCTCATTTTAAATATAGCGTCGGTGCTTGATCTTCGGTCGGTTTTAGGTCGGACCTAAAACCTTGTTGTTTAGCAAATAGGGATCAAAAGTAGTTTACCCATGTTTCCTTCTGAATGTGTTTTGTTTTATTAGTTTGTTTATCCCTTTTCTTTGTCCTCTGATTATTCTCCGTATTTCTTTTTGTGTTCCTTAGAAGTCGTGTTCCATCTGTTTTGATAAGCTCTGCCAGTGTTCCTTTTTTATTTGTCTAACTAGAATATTCGTTGCAGTTTTCTAATATTTAATTTGCAGCGATATTCTCTGATATTCTTTTCCTATATAAGTATTCTATGGATTCCGTATTTATTCTTTCGACTTTGATTTTTGTTTATGTTGGCGCCGCTCTCTTGGGTGGGAAGTATTTCAGTATGATTCTTATTTTACATTATACTAGGCTATGGTCGCTACCTACATGTGCTGAGTTGAGACATCTTACGTCGATTAGTTTCGATGGATGTGTATCTCTGTTGGTTATAACATAATCTATAATAAACCTAAAAAAAGATATTTGTAAGAACAGTAAACTTATATATCTTTATCAGTATATCTTTATCTATATTTAAAACAACTTCTTGTTCAACAAAACGCACCAGTAGATATTCCTTTTGTTCCAAATTCCAACAGTTTTGCAGCATTGTCGACCGAAGTATCGATTTTATAGTAAATATATCGTTATTAATTAAATAAAAAACACATTGTGAACTATGCATACCACTTTTTATGTATCTACAACTATGTTTAATATATACATAGATAATACTTTCTTTGTGTTCAACCCAAGTCACTGAGTTACTTGCTAGAATTAGGGTAAGTGTTTTGTAAATATATATACTTAGTTTCCACTTGTTCATTGTTTGTTCTCTCGTTTGTTTGTATTTTACTCTGATGATGTTAATAATCATTGACGAAAGCTTAGACCTTTAATTAAAAAGCACATCTAACGAAGCACCCTAGTTTTATTTTGTTTCCTTAGTTATAAAAGGGTATCTCCCAGTATTATCTCCTTTTCACTACATAGTACTCGTACCCGTTATCATCCATATATATATATATATATATATATATATATATATATATATATATATATATATATATATATATATATATATATATATATATTATATATATATATATATATATATATATATATATATATATATATAATATATATATATATATATATATATATATATAGTAAACTCTTAAATATTGGGGAAATCTGCAAAAAAAACTCTAATGTGTATCAATTATTTCACCTAACGTTTTCGCCAAAGAGAATTTGGCTTCTTCAGGGCTGAAATAGAATAAATTATAATTAGCTACCATATATTATCTAATAAAAAACATTTACCTTACCGTGAAATTTTAGAAATGTCGAGTTATGATGTTAAAAAACTTTAGCTAGTAACAACATAGTGGTGTTTTTTTGTTACTATGTGCAAAAAAGTTTATTTGTGAACGTTGGAAATGTATGGTAGCTTTGAACTTAAAACGCAAAGGTTTACCCAAGGACAATCGAAAAACCCAATGTAACTACATTTAAAGGAAGTAATTCTTTGAATTGTCGGCAATAACTAAATTTTTAATTGTTGTAAAGTTTGAATGTGAGCTTCTGTTTTCATAGAACGCAAGCGCCGAAACAATTACAAGTAGTGCTTTTGATATCAATGTCGTTAAGGCTCATTGGTAAAACCGATGAAGTTAGATCCCAGTCTGGGGAGATATTAGTTTAGAATTTCTAATTGAAATTCTTTTTTTAATTAGTATATTGTTCATGTATTATTGTAATAATATCTTATTGAGATGTATCTAAGAAAAGCAAGGGAATGTTATCTTTTTTTTTGTTAATGAAAATTATTATTAAAGTAGGTTAGTTGTTAATAGATATATCAGTCAAGTTGGTTATCTGTGATGTTGTATTGTTCTTGGTATCTGATTTAAGTAAGAAGTGGTATATATCGCTTAGATTCTTAATGTCACTCTTAAAGTTGATGGAAAAGACATTTCAATGAACTCTCTTTTCGATTTATTGCTCTCACGGTGGAGAATTGTAGTGTTCGTATAGTCCATGTGATGACCAGTGGAATGGACATGTTTGGCTAATGCATATATATATATATATATATATATATATATATATATACATATTATACATATAGTATAATAACTTTTGTTTGACTAGTTTGTTTTTCATTTATTTACCTTAAAAACCAAAAAAAACAAATTCGAACTAAAAAATATATTAAAAGTACTCTGGTGAATGCAAAGAGCTTTTTTAACTATTAAGGCTAATGAATTTTGACAAGAAGTATGACCTTGTAAATAACAGGTAAACTTGTGTACTAAATCGGCATGACTCATAGCTCTTGTCAAAATCCATTACCTTCACGCGTTATAATTTTTCACTTATTTATTACAAAAGTTCTACTTTTTAGTTAAATATCTCGTATATTTCAATAAAATTTCAGATTTGTTTCTAAAGTTAACGATCCCAATTTTTGCGCCCCTCCAAAGTGTGTATCTTATCTTCGTGGGTTCCACGGCACCTGCTGTGGCCCCGCCTATGTAACCTACATGAAAAACTACTAGGATCCTGTAAGAAATATATATATATATATATATATATATATATATATATATATATATATATATATATATATATATTTAATATAGAATGAAGCTATCATGGTGTCAAACATTACCAAAAATGAGGTCGTATAACTAAAGATTGTTCTTCTTCAAACAAAAAAATAGAACTTACCTAACCATTTAAATCCGGTGAGAGTATCTATAAATTTAAATCCTTCTTTTTTGCTCATTGTATTGAGAATCATGGAACTAACGGTGCTTGAAAGCATGTACACTTTATCGAGGTGATAGGAAGGGTTTCTTTTTTTAAACGAAGATAACATCCACCAACCAATGAGGGCTCCCGTCTCGTTGCCGTTAAATATTCTCCACTCGCCTGTTCTGATAACAATAAAAACAATATTTTTAATAAATAATTATGTTTACTATAATTTAGTTACTTATTTAATTGCTTATTTTATTGTATATTTTCATATCTCATAAAAGCTGCAAAGTGAGAACCACACATATGTGGAAAAATCAATAATTTACCCCAAAACGTTTAAGTTAATAGCTTTTTTAAAGATTAACTTAAAAATAACTACAGAATATCTTAACTTATAACGTCAGTTAAACTCTGTGCTATCCGATTTTTGGAACGGTTCACATAGGCTCGACTCACGCTCGTCTACGTAAATAGGGTGGTCGCTCCAGACAGATAACTGGGATCAGAAGCAAATTAACATTTATAACAAAGACAAGGCTGATCAATGCATCTCTCCCATGAGTATAGACTTGCAAGACGAACAGAAGGAAGATTCAAGCTGTCAACAACGGAGCACTACGAGAAGCAGTGAACGTCCCTCCATGAGTTGCGAAAACATTAGAGACACATTCAGAGACACCTAACAAACCAGATGGGCGACAAAACAAGAACAAAATTCCCCGAAATCATGAGCCATTCCAACTTCATCATGCAAGAGATCATTAGGTATGATTTCTTCCACCAATGAAAATACAGAAAACCCAAACAGCAACTGTCTTGAATATTACTAAGAAGAGATAGCATGTAAGTAGCTGTGAAACTGAGTAAATATGTGACCAATTTCGTACCAGTATCGGATAGAATAATATTACTCCAAATAAATACTCAACTTTTTAAAACTAACATAATTCAAATGTATGCCCCGACTGCAGATAGAAAATATGACGATGAAGTCGAGAAGTTGTATGATCAGATCCAAGACATCTTACAGAAACTTAATAAACACGAAATTTTATATAGTATAGGCGACTTTAATGCAAACATTGGGGAAGGTCGACAAGGTCAGACTGTAGGTCCTTATGGTCTAGGACAACCTAAAGATTGAGGACAGATATTGTATGATTTTGTAAAGAAAATGATATGATCATTGCAAACATCTAGTATAAACTACCCAAGCGACGACTATAAACTTCGAAAGCCCCATTTGATGATGGCAATAACCCTGAGTTCTCTAGAAATCAAATAGACTATATACTTGTAAATGAGCGTTTCCGAAATACCGTCAAAAAAGTCACTACATTTATTGGGGCAGATATTGAATCTGATCATCAACAACTTGTAGCAGATATTAAACTAATGTTAAACTGAATTGAGTGACAAAACCAAAAACCAATGTACTTAACTTTAACGATATAAACATAAACAATAACATTAAACAAGAATTTAAAAATAGAATACAAAATATCGCAGAACAACCAGAAGAACTATGGAGTGAATTTAAAAACCAAGTTAAGGAAATCTCCACAAACATTGAATATAGAAAAAAAAACTTAGTCAAGAAAAATAAATGGATGACAGAAGACATCTTGAAATTAATGGAACAACGTCGACTGATAAAATCTAATAAAACATAATATAGACACCTGCAGAGAGAAAGGTGCGACGAAATGGAGGATGTAATATTTAAATACGACTTATTTAATGTGCACAAAAAACTAAAAGAAATGAGTAACATTTAAAAAACGAGTTCCCTCTGTACTCGTTGACGATAATAACAAAATTATTGTAAATAAGCAAGAAATGAGAAAATAATGGCAAATGCATATATCAGAGTTGTTTGATGATGACAGGAATAATATTGCCAAATTCTACCAAAACTGTACTGACGACCCAGAAATTATGAAATGCGAGGTAGAGTTGCTGAAACTAATAGAGGATGATAAAAGTGATTGACTCAAATCAATCTTTGTCTCAAAACCTAAAAAACACAATGCGAGAAAATACTTAGAATATCGATTAATTAGCCTAAAGATTCACACTCTAAAAATTTTCCTAAGAATATTTCATAACAGAAATAGACGCAAATGCGAAGAAGATCTCGAAGATACCCAATTTGGTTTTAGTAATGCTATGAGAACCAGAAAGGGAAGTTTTTGCGTTTAACATCCTATTACAAAAATGCCGTTTCGCCGACTTAGAGGCATTAGATAAAGTACAGCATGTGAAATTAATGTAAATACTGTAATAGATGACAAGGATATTCGTGTCAATAAAAATTTGTACTGGAATCAGACTACTATCGTAAAAATGCGAGACAACTACACCGATGAAATCTCCATACAAAGAGGAGTCAGACAAGGTTGCATTTTGTCGCCAACATTGTTCAATGTTTACTCGGACCAGTTATTTAAAAAGGCACTTGAGAGACAACCATATGGAATAAAAATCAACGGGGAACTACTTATTGTGAGTAGATATGTAGACGACAAAGTAATTCTGTCAGATAATATTGAAGGTCTCCAAATTCTGCTTAATCGTATTCACGAGGTAGGAGAGAAAATGGGCACTAAAATAAACTCAAACTAAACCAAATTTTTGTGTTTAGTCGTGCCACACATCCCGATGCAAAGCTTCAATTAAACGTAGTCCAAGTTGAGAAAGTTCACAAAATGACGTATTTGGGAACTGTAATATTCGACCAACTAGATCCAGACATAGAAATAAAACGTAGAATAACAATGACTAAAACTACTTTTAAGAAAATAAAGTCATTTCTTTGCAATAATCATCTCAGTTTAGAACTAAGACAAAGAATGGTTACGTGATCTGTTTGGTCCTTACTTTTGTATAGTGCAGAACTGTGGACGCTAAAAGTATCGATCATGAACAAAAATGAGGCATTGGAAATTTGAATTCATAGACGAATACCTTGGACAGCAAGGAAAACTAATGAAAAAGTACTAAAGAGCGTCAAGATAGATAGAGAACTGCTAAAGACTGTTAAACATCGAAAAATGTCTTCTAGGGCATACAGTAAGAGGAAGCCGATATAAAATATTACAACTGATCCTTAAAGGCAAAATAGAGGCCCGTAGAGTTGTAGAAAGAAAACAAGTTTCTTCGTTAAAAAATATTCGTGAATGGACTCAGATATCAAATGCAGGACAATTATTCCATATTGCAGAAGATCGAGAAGCCTTCGAAATGGTGATCACCACCGTCGGATAATTCTGATATGGCACGCGAAGAAGAAGAAGCTGTGAAACACTCGACTAACTTTTAGTCTCAGCCTCATCCAAAACTTCCTAAAAACATGAAAAAATACACAAAAATGGCACATGCCAACCAAAAAATACGGAAAAAACAATAATAACCGTGCCAGAGGGGCCTATTTTCCCAGTCGAGTGTTAAGACCCTGGAGTTAACTTAACCAAATGGCTCTGGTAGACGGAAGCTGGATACTCGAACATATAAAAGATGAAGACAACAAAAAAATACTACGGGACTAGAGCGCATCATGCTGTCCTGGACTTCATGTGGAGAAGATGTCAAGTGAGTCTCGTTTCCAAAGACTTTCACGTGAGACAAGGATTATTATGATAGTAGTCTCTTATAGCGCATCAGCGTGATATGAGGAGGGTTATGGAGGACTGTCTAGAGAGCATTGGAACTCGGATAATTCGTCCTTTTTCTAGACCAATCCTCTTTACCCCAATAAATTGTATGCCCAAATGTTCCTACAGATATGTAAGTCTTATTCAAGTCAGGGATTACTATTTTGTGTGTATGTATGTGTGCGTGTTCACGGGGTAAACCTCAACCAGAAATCGCGACACACACACACCTTCTGCAGAGAACTTAGTCTAAACTCGTGACGTGCACATCTCTAGCTCAAAAACCGTATTACAAATTTTAAATGATTTTACCTACTTGGGATTTTTTTCGGCTATAGCTAGTCTATCAGCATCTGGATCATTTGCTAAGATTACTGAACTGTTGTTTTCATCAGCACATTTGAACGATAAATCCAAACTACTTTTTCCTTCTTCAGGATTTGGAAACCTATAAACGAACAAAAAATATTAAATGAAATCAAAAAATAGTTATGGCATAATTTTTGTTCATAAAAATATGCAACAAACAATATCAAATAGGAGTTGTGTTCCCGAATGACTAGTCGCTGAATTGACGGACTCTACATCCGATCATTATTCTTCTTCTGTTTTTGGCTGCAGTATTAGTTGATGTTAGGCTAGAGCTAATATACCCTCTTTAAGGAGTACTTCTGATTTTATTCATAAAGGACATGAATTAGGTAATGTAGATTTGATTGTTGGTGATGTATCGGTTCGTGAAGATTAGTGAGGATAGCTATAGGTGCCCAAGTTATATTTTTAGACAATATTTTTTATTACATTTTAGAGATTATTTTTATGGGGTAGTTTGAGCGGTACCGTTATGCAATTATATTGGAAAACCACAGAAATCCAAGCTCTCTTCGTTTTTGGATTTATTGAATGCGTCGATTTTTTGATATTATGACTCTTTTTAATTTTTTTCTGTCTTTCTGTCTCTTCTGCCAAATACTTTACCCTGCATAACGAGTTGAAGCCTGGATATTTAAATTAAATACCATGAGACAGCTAGAAGCCTTTGAAATGTGGCTTTACCACAGAATGCTCAGAATATCATGGACACATTACGAATCGAACAGTACTACACAATAAATACCGAGTTAAAATTTATAACAACGATTAAAAAATGTGGACATAATGAGAATTTACAAATATATCCTTCTACAGATAATAATTAGGGGAAAATGGAGGGCCGAAGTGGAGCAGGTAGAAGACTCTTGTCATGGCTTGGCAATATCAAAGTTTGGACGCTTATGAACGTTCAATAATTACTAAGAGTGGCGCAGAATAGAGAACATTTTGATTTAGTGATCGCAAACCTCTAATAATGGAATGCACCAGAAAAAGAGGTTTATATATAGATTAAAATTAAACTGATGTGTTTCTGAGATTTTATTGTATGGGTTGATATGTATTGACCAAAAGATCGGAAACCCAGCTCTAGGAAATCAGGCAAATTGGAAGGCCTTCCATCCAGCTTACCATACCTAGACAGTAAGAGAATGCTACATCTATAAAATATACTCCTCTGATATTTTTAAATAGATTTCTGTATGTTCTAACACTTTTAAGAATGTTTTGAGCGTATATGTGTTTTCTTGGGTAGCAGTATAAAGGATGATAACAGCCGTTATTGTGGCGTAAATAATATTAAACAAATTTACAAATAGATAAATGTTCTCTTCTATAACCCTTAAAACAAAGAAGATTACAATACAATTAATATAATGCAATTAATACTTACTTAACAGTAGGAAAATCCGGATGAGGATCTCTCTGTTCAGGAACTACCACAAAATTGGCATTTATAATTTCAAACACTTTTTTAATATACTCGTAAGCAACCCCGTGCATTGGTGTGTACGTAAACGTCAAATTCATTTTTCTATTCAACTCCTTAGATTCTTCAGAAGCGTCCCTGTCGATTACATTCATGTAACGACAAAATACGTCGCTTCTGGGGTCCGATATTAAAGGGCTGCTTCTTATTATCGAGGTATCCCAAGAGCTTTCCAAGGGTTGTAGATTTTGTAAAATTGAATTTTGGATGTGTTCATCCACGGGGGACACTATTTGCGCTCCGTTTGAACCATACACCTACGGCACAAAATGTAGGTCACATAAGAATTTTACGACTGCTTTAGTTGTTGACATTTTAGAACATAACACGCACATTTTCGGAGTAAATATAGGAAAAGAAAAAATATATTTTCTTTTTTAAAAATTGATATATTAAACAAGGTACTACTTTTAACAGACTGGGCAAATAAAATTTTAATACACGTAAAGTATTTTGCATTAGGTTTCAAATTGTCAACATTACCAAAAAAATAAGTTTTTTAGATCCTTCCAATGTTAATTTTTTTACGATTTTCGGATTGTAAATCAAACCGTCAAAACAAATGTAAAATGTAATTCTCATTACAACCAGTTGTCGTTTAATCTCATACAAATTAATATATTTAACTTTTTCTATTTGTTATATTTCAGGTCTGCTGAAAAATTGTTTAATTTATTTATAAAGTTTTTTGGTAACGACTTAATAACTATTCTAGTCGTCAGAGATGAAAATCGCACTAAACCTTTAAAAATCAAGATACATTTTGCTTAGAACATCAATTTTAAGACCCTAAAAAAATGCGAGGTGCAAGTTATAGTTATGTGCAACGTATAGCTTCTCCTATCCAAATGTCAACCTCACCTGCCCGCGTAATGATCTTGATTATGGTCATTTGGTTCATCCTGCTAGATAAAACATGCGGCTCTGACGTTCGAGTGATTGCCGGTATAAGCAATCCCCCTCTTACTGACTAACAACTTCGGACGGATGAGTTGATGAGTGGTAGGGCATTCTTTTTTCCTGGGGTTAAGGAATCGGCCCCAACAGCAATCGGGGTTTAGTATGGTATTAAACTTTACATTTAATAGATTTCAAAAAATCAGATAACTACCTAGAATAAATAGGTATCTAATAAAACGGCTTATAACTAGAGGCAATTTAATCTTTCTATCTCTGCACGTGTTTCTGGTGGCCACAATTCCTTCGCTTTGTAATGACAATGTCATAACCAGGTAGAAAAATTATTTGTAAAACTTTCAATATTTTTATTTAAATTCAAAACAAAAGGACTATAATAAAAAATATGCAAATCAGGCTACCTTGAGTACAGTGATTAACAAAAGACAATATGGTAAGACAATAGCCCCGGAAGGTTACATGAAGATTTAGTACAATTTGGGATTCACTGCTTTTCCTTTAATAAAAAAATATTTTTTGGTTTTAAGTAATTAGTCTTAATTTATGTGTTTTTCGGCCATTAATGGATTAGGTCAGTATTTATAAAGGTGTCAAATAAATTTTGACGTTACGCGATTTTTGCATTTTTTACATTCTCTTGAGATCAATAAAATTTACTTGGATTGACCTGTTTCTATGGAATTTTCATTGTTATAACCTAATCTTCAAAAACTATAACATGAAATTTCGATTTTGAGTTTTGGTAAAAAAATAGGAAGCATTTGAAATGTGCCTAAAAAACGCTGAATTTAAACTTTGACATTTACAAACGATCTAAAACGTTTAAAACTCCTTTTTTGATGGAACAAGTACGTTTGTCAAAACTACAGAACTTCAGCTATAAATAACGCCTAATGGAGTCTTAGTGGAAGCAATGACATGGGATCATTTTATGTAATGTGAAAGCTGAAATTCAGCCTTTTTGGGCATATGAAGCATTTGAAATATGAATGAAATATGGCATTTGTTGCCAAAACATAACATAAAGGTTTTAAAAATATTAGGCTCTAACAATGAAAATTCTACAGCGACCAATGAATGGAAGTGATAAATTTTATTGATCTTATGAGAATTGTAAAAAATGACAAAAATCGCGCCAACGTTTATTTATTTAACAGTTTTATAGAAACTGACTTTAATTGCAGCAAAATACAAAATTTGTTTAAAAAACCTGCACTCTTCACCTATAAAACTCATTTTAATTTTTGTTGATAGGATACTCTGATCAAAAAGTATCGAATTTTTACCAACGAATTGATAAAAATTTTATTTAAAAAATTGATTTCGGGCGCGTAACTAACATTTAAAATCGCTGGTAGCTTCAAGCGTTGTTTCTGGGAAAACGGTTTCTTCTACACAAAAATGTTTTTGTGTAGAAGGAACCGAGGAGGATTTTAGGGGGAAGCAGGGGTTGTAGTGGTAAACATATTTTGCACCTGTTTTGGTATCTTAAAATTGACATTGTTAACAAAATTTTGTGATCTCTAAAAATCATGTGATTTTTAGAGATCAATTCTCTGACGACTGGACTATTGTAAGGAATAAATATTTTTTAATTCTGTTTTGAAATTCGTTTTGCTGGTAATTTTCCACGAATTAAAATAGCTTTCCTAGGATCATTTTTAACCAGGATAGTAATGTTTTTAATTCCTATTGTTAGTTATTTATTAACATTTTTACTTTAAACTCCAGTAATAATTCGTTGATATACGCTTCTAAATATTTCATCGGGTGTGGTCTGTGAGTCTACGACAAAATAAAAATTTTGGATAATTCTCTCATTTTATTTTTTTAAATTTGTACCTTTTCAGTACTTTCCTAGAAACTAAATACCATTCGTTTTTTTATACAAAACTGTTAAAATTTCTAAATGGCTGCTGCATGGTCGTTTGTCCTCACAGACCCCACCCGATTAAATGTGTAACAATATTTGCACTACTTCTTAGTTGTATTTTTCTTGGTTGTTCCGAGAAAATACGTCAGTTCACCGATAAACATTTTTTGTCTGTGGTCTGTGCGTTAGTTATGGATTAACAACTAAAAACTAAAGTGGTTTACGATTGAAATCTCGAAATCTCACAAAGATAATAGTAAAGTATACGAAAAGTGTTTACAGATTTTTGTAAAATATCAATATAAGAATAATTTCATATCGAGATTCGGTTGGACAAACATTATAAAGGTACGAAGTAGAGGATTATTTACTAATCTGATTTATTTGAAAAAATATTGTATTTTAGAATTGTAAAATGGATCCTTATGAAGTGGAAATAGAGAGGCAAATGAATCTGTATGAGGAAATTGCCACAGTGAAATAGACGACGATTCGATCGCGAATCCAGATTTTCTAGGGAGCAGTCATCATACACCGAGCAGGAAAATGAAGATGAGCAAATTCTAAATAAGAATGAAGAAAATCAGAAAAAAAATGGGTCATGACAGAGGCTTATATTTTTTTGGTAAAGACGGAACTACATGGAGAAAATTTGTCCCAACTAGAAATATTTAAGAATTTCATGGGTGGATCGTGTGACTAATGTTGAGGTCCTACGTAGAATATGCAAGGAATGCGAGATTATTAACACCATCAAAGGGCGCGAACTAGAATATCTTGGCCATATAATGAGGAATGAATAGAGATACGGTTTGTTGCAACTCATTTTTCGGGGCAAGGTATTTGGAAAGAGAGGACCAGGGAGAAGAAGGATATCTTGGCTTCAAACCCTAAGAAAGTGGTTTAATACATTAACAACCGGACTATTCAGAATAGCAACAAGCGAAGTTAGGATAGCCATGTTAATCGCCAACATCCGGAGCGGATAGGCACCGTAAGAAGAAGAAGAAGAAGAAATATTAAAACACGCAATGAAAACATAGTGACTCATTTGCCTGGGATTGTTGGTGAGGCGCGACAAGCATTATCTCCCATTGAATGCTGGACTCACACGTTTGGTAACTGCATTGATATTATAGTTTAAAACACGAATTTATACATAAAAAAATTTCCGTTAGATATCAAGAAAAGGCTGAATGTAGACCTACTGACCCAGTAGAAATTCGATCACTGATTGGTTTATTGTATTTGACTGGACTTCATCAAGCATCAAGAACAAGTCTGGAAGAGTACTGGTATGGGATATGAGATATTTCCTGCTACAATGGCAAAACGTAGGTTTATATTTTTACTGAAGTGTATCCGTTTTGATGATATCACTACTCGAGACCAAAGAAAAAAAGTGGACAAATTGGCAGCACTTCGTAGTATCGTTGATAAGTTCAATGAAAATTGTAAGAAGAATTATTTATTGGGATAGTTTGTGACTTTGGACAAAATGTTACTTGCCTTTAGGGGTAGATGCAGTTTTAAAATGTATATTCCCAACAAACCTAACAAATATGGGCTCAAAGTTTGTTCAGTTCTTGATGCCAAAACTTTCTTCACCTCGCACATTGAAATATATGCTGGTATTCAAGCCGATGGCCCATATAAAGTTGACAATTTTACTGCTGCAGTAACTGAAAGAATGTGCTTACATTTATCGGGTTCAGGAAGAAACATAACCATAGACCGTTAGTTCACAGGATATGCAATTGCCAAGAAACTACTAAGAAAACACCGACTCACCGTAATTGGTACAATTAGAGCCAACAGACGAGAATTACTTGCAGAGATAACGCAAATTAAAAATGGGCAGGTATATTCTTCAGTTTTTGCATTTAGCAACGATATGACTGCCGTATCATATATACCGAAGAAAGGAAAAAATGTGATTGCTGTTTCCACTGTGCACAGAGATGATCGGATGGAAGATACTGGTGATCAGAAAAAACCAGCAATAATTACTGTTTATAATTCCACAAAGAGTGTAGTAGCTGTAGACAGAATGATCACATCATATAATGTTTCCAGAAATACTCGTACGAAACGTTGGCCAATGGTAGTAGGTAGTTTATAATCTCCTTAATCTCGCAGCAATTAATGCATTTGTAATTTACAAAGGCAACAACCCAGATGAAGAATTTTCCAAAATGCGAAGATTATTCCAAAAAAACCTAGGTATGGAATTGATACAGGAGAATATACGACGAAGAGCAGTTGACACGCATTTGACAAAAGCTGTGTGTGCTTCGGCCTTCAGACTCTCAGGCATTGAGGTCGACGTTGTACCAGAGCCCCAGCCAGGTAACAGAGGAAATTGTAAATATTGCAGAAGATGCAAAACTCGCTTTTTTGCCAAATTTGCAAATCCTGGCTATGTATCGACCACATATTGGCATGCTGCAAAGATTGCTTAGAAAA